CTTGTTGTTCGTGTGTTCAACTAGGCCAAGCCTGAGGTTGAAAACAAAAAGACAAGAAGTGACACGTCTTTGAGGTGCCAGGCGCTTGCAAGGCGGGTACCTGGACTGAAAACTCACGAATGATGCTAAGATTGCATGTGTTCATGTTTTGCTCACTATTTAATGGAATCAAGCTTGGATGTGGTACTCAAAGAACTTTGTTGTGCAAACCTTCAATGTTTATGAGACAAGCTCACCTGGTCGCACGAACCAAACACCAGCCCAACAGTGGCAAGGAGTCCTTGCTCAGCTAAAAAGTCCATGTGCTGCTTAAAATTTAATCGCTAACGCGAAGCCGTGTTGGCGAGCGTGGTCAAGGCGAGAGAGCAACAGCCCCGACCCCGACCCCGACCCGGCGCCCCCAGCCCGCCCCTGGCCCCCACGGCCCCTCCTGCCCCCCTAGAAACCTCAAAAACGAGTTGATTGGACCCTCGGAAATCATGCCTACTGGGAGGGGGTAGGGGGAAGCTTAACTTACTCTCCTAGTTTCCGGACCTAATTGACAGCGTAGGAGCAGTCGCACCAGCCAAACAAGGGCACCCACATGTCGAGGAACGGCCAAGCATCGGTGACACGCCGAAATCATTTGTTTCCTGCACCTGGAGCCACAGAGGGGTCGAAATGCTGCATCATGCTTGACATGAAGTCTCAGCAATTTCAGGACCGTTTACAGATTTCATTGTGCCCAAAACTCCTAACCTTCCTCGTGTGACCCACAAGCCCAGTCTTCTTTCAATAATTCCCATTATGCCCCTTGTTTCTCAAGAGCTTTTGTTTGAAGCCCAGCTTTGCTAACAGGGTATGGGGGACGCCCGGACTGTGGTGGATTCGATGGTGATTTCTGAGGCAAGACCCCGGCCAGAGGAAGGTTTCGTTGTCTCCTCGCGGCTCTTGAACCTGGGGGAGGGGGGGCAGGGGATACATCTAGGGGCAAAAATGGCGACAATTGGACGCTTTCTGATGCTCTTGATGCTGGCTGCAGGCGGACTTTCAGGCATTTTTTGGAGACCTCATCAAGACTGAAATGCGTGATGCCAGCTACACTTTAATGCATCTTGGGACTCTTGGTGATACCCGTGCATCCACTGCCTGCATTGTCTCTTTGGTAAGCTTTTGTCCTGCCCCTTCTGGGCGCAGTTTGTTGTATTCCTAGCACTGCCAACTTTACGAGTTTCTAAACACTTCCAACCTCCCATTGTTCCTGAAATTCAAACAGTTTCAAGGCACTACGTCATGTCGATATTCATCTTCAATTTGATCAACATTCCTCAGGTGTCATCTTCCCGATTTTTTCATCTTCCTCATGTTTGTGCATGTCTTCAGTTCATGTGAGTTCATTTGAACTACTAAATGCGCCTGTTCAAGTCAGATTTAGCTAGATGGCATATTTGTATCGTGCTTTCCCGAAGAGTTTGTCATTTCAGCATTCATTGGGCTTTCAATTCGGATTCGTTTCAGGGCTTGGATTGCCACTTCAACCAATGCCATGCCGTGTGGTGATGCTATTTCATGTGATTGACAGGTCTGCAACAATTCGCGTGTTAATTACAAACTGTGTTGAAACGTGTTCTACGCAAAGCGTTCGCCTGTAAGGGCTTTCATCAGGGCCGCATCGATTCTAAACTCAAGGCTTTCCTTGATTTATGTGTTGGTCTGCATTGCCTTGAGCTTGCGGCTTGTGCAATGCTTTTGTTAAGGTGTTCGAAGGTACTTCTAAGGCTTGTGTGCATACATTTTGCAAGGGGCTCATGGAACTTTTTGGCGAGCTCACAAACATTCCATTATCTCAACGTGCAGGTTAACCCGGTAAGGTCACAAGCAGTCATCTAGACGGACTTTCCCTCCGACCACTTTTTAGGATTGACTAGCATGCAGATCTCTTTGGAGATCTTGCTTCATCGACCCTGTAGACATGTACGCAACAATATGAACCACAAATTAAGTCACTCACATTAAACTCCAATGTATTTCTTTGCACTAGAACATGTTGTGTGGACATGCGCGTGAAACCCTCTCCTTTTCTGAATGCAGCGTCTGTTTGGCAACCAGTCCCCTTCTGCATCCTAGTTCACTGACTGCAGATCCCTGCAACAACATGTTTATCAGTTGCCCGAGACAGTATGAAGCTCGGCTAACTACGGCATCTCTTACCGTTAGTGCGAGATGCCCTTGTATGTTTAAAATGACAGATCAGTTCATGTGCAGATCTTCCTGTGAAGTGAGTTTCTAGAAGCTTGTGCTAACCATGTCAACCCCTTCGGCATTCATTCCTCTTTAAATCATAGTGGTTGTCTTTGGTGATTGTGGTATTCCATGGAATCACTCAGTGATGATAGCTGTTTGTATTTCCGCGTATGACATTTGGAGCTTCCTTGTTGATCTTCAAGAATTTAGGAAGGTCACTCTAAACCACAGTGTTTGTGAGCACTTTAGAGCATCCAATTTGCCTCACCTTTCAGCATTTGTGCTTCACAACGCCTCAAGCCTCCGTATTTAGCTCGGATCCTTCCGAGACAAGCAGCTGCACGTTACAAAGAAGCGTAAATGCCGAGAGGCGTGTGTCTCAGCTGCCAAGCTTTCAGTAAACAGGACAATGTGCTGGGAGCTTTTAACAAGCGTGCGGGCATCAGGCCTGCCCACTTGTCGCTTTTGATGGTGCGAAAGCGGTGCAGAGCATGCCTTGCTGTTCACAAAGCATCCAAGGTTGTGTAGCACATGCGCGCATGTCAGGATTCAAATGTACCCGACGGACCGAAGCATCTCGGCTCCGTCGGCCTTTTCGCCCGCTTTGCCTCCTCTTACGTCCTTCGACGTCATGGCATCCACGCCCGTCTCGTCTGCGCCGTCTTCAGCGACCGACGTCGCTGAGGTGCTTGCGGCGCACCCCAACGACGAGCTGGCGGCGGAATTGGGAAGTTGGCCGGTGGACCTGCAGGCCAAAGTGGCGGCTGCCATGTCAGCAATGGGCACGACGGCGTCTTCGACGTCCGGGCACAACAATGGAGGCGGCTTCGGCGTCTGCCGCCGCGGGTCCGTGGGCGACCCGGCGGCCGTCGTCGTCGACGTCAGCGGCAACATCGGCCCGGACTCCGGCGCGGTTCAGCGGCACCACCTCGGCGCCTACAACCTCCCTTAGTGGTTGGCGATGGCGGCGCTGGTGGCACGACATAGGCGCCTACTACATCCACCCTGCCGACAACCACCTTGACCTCGGCTGGCAGCAAGGCGGCGCCAGACATTCCGCCGCTGCCGCAGGCAAAGCCGATGGCCAAGGCTCCGCCGCCGCCATTCAAGGAGCCAAATCAGCTCTTGCAAAAGCAGCCGCCCGCAGCGGAGCGGCGAGGGAGATGGGAGCTGGCGCCAGCTTCTCATCGGCGGGAGACCGTCCCGGCCGGTGCAGCGCCTCCGACTCACTGGAGAGGCGTCCAGGAACCTGTCATCAACGGCATCGGCGTCCTCATCCTCAGCGCCATCGTCTACGTTGCTGACCATTCCGTCGGCGATGCAGATTATCCTATCCAGGGCACCGACGAGGACCCGCTGCCAGCTGTGAGGCTTTGATGGCTGGGGGGCTTGACAGGTGGGGGCAGAGATAAGGTAACGTGACTGTCAGGCTGGTTTGCCAGCAATGCAAACAAGTCTGAGTCATTGGGCAGTGGCATAATGAGGACGGCTTTTTCATAAACTTGGAATCTGAGTGTTCCTCCTCCTACAAAGTGTGGAACATTGACAATCGTCCCACGTTGATAGTAGGGGACTACAGTGCCGACCTCCCCACTTTCTCCCCTGATAGGGGTTTACCGCTGTAGCCTTTGGCTGTATGGTGTGGGGAGCTGGGGCACGTGGACACTCGGCTGCCCCTGTGTCAGAGGTTGAGGGCAAGTCAGTTTTAAGGGCATTGCTTTCTTGGGCTGTACAAACTTATTGGCTAGGAAAGGGAACTTGCATTCGTCCCTGGCAGGTAGACCGCTTCCCTGCGGCTGAGGCTGGCATGAGGCCACTAGCTCGTCCTGCAACAGGTTGTGCAAGTTTTCAGCAGGTCTTCACACACGTCAAGCAGCTTTTCCAAAAAGCTAACAACCCTGGCGTCGAGGTTTCGAGGTTCTGAGGTTTCGAGGTTTCCAAGTTTCTTGGTGTCGAGTTTTCAAGGTATCGATGTTTCGAGGTTTCGAGGTTCCGAGGTTTCGAGGTTTCGAGGTTTCGATGTTTCGAGGTTTCGAGGTTTCGAGGTTTCGAGGTTTCGGGGTTCCGGGGTTCCGGGGTTCCGAGGTTTCGAGGTTCCAAGGTTCCGAGGTTTCAAGGTTTTTCGAGGTTTCCGAGGTTTCGAGGCTCTGACGTTTCGAGGTTTCGAGGTTCCAAGGTTCCGAGGTTTCAAGGTTTTTCGAGGTTTCCGAGGTTTCGAGGCTCTGACGTTTCGAGGTTTCGAGGTTTCGATGTTCCAAGGTTTCGGGTTCCGGGTTTCCGGGGTTCCGGGGTTCCGGGGTTCCGAGGTTTCAAGATTTTTTGAGGTTTCCGAGGTTTCGAGGTTTTTCGAGGTCTTCGAGGTTTCGAGGTTTCGAGGTTCTGGGGTTCCGGGTTTCCGGGGTTCCGGGGTTCCGGGGTTCCGAGGTTTCAAGGTTTTTCGAGGTTTCCGAGGTTTCGAGGTTTTTCGAGGTCTTCGAGGTTTCGAGGTTTCGAGGTTCTGGGGTTCCGGGGTTCCGGGGTTCCGGGGTTCCGGGGTTTCGAGGTTCCGAGGTTTCGAGGTTTCGAGGTTTCGAGGTTTCGAGGTTTTGGGGTTCCGGATTCCGGGGTTCCGGGGTTCCGAGGTTTATACGTTTCGAGGTTTCGAGGCTTCGAGGTTTCGAGGTTTCGAGGTTTCGAGGTGTCGAGGTTTCGAGGTTCCGGGGTTTCGAGGTTTCGAGGTTTCGAGGTTTCGAGGTTTCGAGGTTTCGAGGTTTATAGGTTTCGAGGTTCCGAGGTTCCGAGGTTCCGAGTTTTTGAGGTTTCGAGGTTTCCAGGTTCCGGGTTCGAGGCTCCGAAGTTTATAGGTTTCGAGGTTTGGAGGTTCCGAGGTTCCGAGGTTTCGACGTTTTCGCCGCTTTCGGAAAATCCATTGTCAGGTCTGATCTCTTTTTCTTGGTCGGGTTGCACACGGCAGGGATTGTTGTATGGAATTGTGTCTTCCGTGTCCCGTTCAATATTCACATGTCGAACGAAACTACTCATGAGACTTCAGCAGCTTATGGCGCAGTTGCACCTTTGATCTTCAGGTGCAGAAACAGCCCCTAAAAGCATATTAGGTACGCCGTTACTTCCCCAGAAGCAACGTCGCACACTTTGAGCGCCCGTGAGACTTAGTACATCGTGTGACAGGAAGCAACCATTGCCTCTCAAACAACATCACGAGTGCTGCTCATCATTCTTGGGAGACACTGTAGTAGCCGCTCTTGAATGTGGATACGTTGCTTGCCAATCAATGACTGACTACAACATCGCGAGTGCTGCTCATCATTCTTGGGAGACACTGTAGTAGCCGCTCTTGCTCGCGAATAATTTTGCATTTTCAATTAGTCAGCAACGTTCTGTTTGCGCAATTGCCTTGGACTGGTCTATGACGCTTGGTAGGTGCCAGATGAGGCCTTCCATGCATCATGAACGTGATGGCTCGGATCCAGCTGCTGTTGGCCTGGACCCACGGATGAATCGTTTGAGGTCACAAGGAAAGACGGCAGTGTAGTAATCACAGACGTTTAATGATTTACTCTGCTTCCACTGATTACTGCAAATTTCATGTTCCAGCGTGGCGTTTGTTGTGTGCTGCAGGTTGCGCCCGCCGGGCAGCGATGAGAGCGCGCAAGTTAGGTGTTACAGCAGAGGGCGCAGCAAGCCACGATATATTGGGCTGCCGTGCAGGCTTGGTGTGAGGGGTTCCTTGCAAGAAAGCCGAAGCGCTTTCGCAGGCAGCTATGGAACGAGCGCAGAGGCTTCTGCGGCCAAAGGCCAAAGCAAAAGCCAAGGCGCGGGCGCACGGATCCGAAACTTGGAGCTGTCAATTTCGTACGCCAAGATTCAATCGTACTTGGTCTCACACGACCTTGATCGGCTCCAAGTCCAACTGTCCCTGAGAGTTCAGCCTGCAGAGTGGCCCACAGGCAGCGCTTGTCTGCTTGAGGCGATTTGCTGATGGTGTATGTCCAGGGATCCTACACCATCCTAAACCCTCCTAAGCCTTCCAGTAGCGCGTCAGGAAGGTTTGCAGGAGCTTCCGGGGAAAATGCTGGACCGTCTGGAGTTGAGAATTTTTATTGTTTCATAGAGGACGTAGCCGCAGAATCCGGTCAGGTGCAGCTCCTCAATTCGCGGGGTTTCTAGCTTGAAAACTAATTATTTAGGCGTCGCGATTTCGGGGTAGCAAAATCAAAACAAATTGGGACATTAATATAGAAATTCTGGAGTTTCTGACAAAGGGGTATGATTTTGGCTTAGGCAGGCAAAGGCCACAGGCAAATCAGGCACACTGAGCGCTTCAAAGCAGAGGCCCTGAGTGTGTCAAACCCCGTGCCACGTGTTTGCAAGAGTTGCAGTGTCTAATTTTGGGCAAGGGAGATGTCGCCAGCATCCACGCGACAAGGAAGCACTCCCAAACAAAGATTGTAAGCCCTTCTGTCTGCATCCCCCATGCTGGAAACACTTTCGCCTAAGAAATGAATCGGTGCCCAAGGAAAACATTGCTTTACCAAAGCGATCGCTCGAGGCATGTGAGTTACCAAACTGCTTCGCGGGTCCTTCTCCGCTCTTATCCGGGTTGCATTGAGCGCCGAAACCCCCTGACAGGGAGGGCCGCCCCCTATCAGGACCAGGCCAGTCCCTGAAAACAGGGTCGCCCACGCTTGAACCATTTCAGGACCGATGTCCTCAACCCGATCGACGTGCGACGCGCTGGGAAAATGGGATTCCAGGACTCGCCAACAAGCTTGGTCTGACTCAACACTTATGTAGCCCACGAGCGGGGCATGGAGCACGTCTAATGCGACACGCAACGCACCAATGCCATCAAAAAGACCTTAAGCTAGGACACCATGACCCACGAATGGAGCGCTCATCTCACCGCGGACACTTTGGCTTGAGGCGGCCGCCCCTAATCCTGTCAGAGCTGTGGATGCTGTGACTCCTCCCCCTTCTTCGCTGGCGTCGCCAGCTGAAACTACAGGGCTCCAAGTATGCCGAAACTGATTCTGGCCAGCGGCAGGAGTGGGCGCGACGACTCGAAGCGGCTGACAAAACCCCATATTGCATTCAGGCATGACATCAGTGGTCGCTGGTGCATGGCAATGTACACTAACCCGCCTGCGCATACCTGCGCTTGCTTTCGCGTAACGGATTTCGAAGCCAAGAATTTCAAAGCCACGCTCAAGTAACGGGCAAGTTTGGATAATTTGGGCGTTGCGCAGCCAAGAACCCATTCAATAACTGCGCCTTGCACTTCTGCGCAACATGATGATTCAACAGATTTCTTGGTGTTCTGAGGGAGTCCTATCTTCTTGTACTCTGCTCTAAAAGACTCGACCAAGACTGGCGATGTGCCCTGCAAAGTTTGTGCTAAATCCTTGTTAGTTCTTTACAAGATGTCAAAATTGTCAAGGTATACACGACAAAGCGGATTTTGCAATGGGCCAAGGCGCGTCGCGCCTAAGCCCTGCTTCGCTGCTCACACCCGCTTGGGTTGCCGCTTTGTGTATGATGTTTCTATGCAAATGCTGCGCGATGGCAACAGAGTTTAAAAACCCATCGGCAACACCTTCGAGCGTAACATGCGGGGACGGGGATCGCCGGCAGGGCAAAAAGATGGAGGAGGCAACGAACGGTTTGTTGAAAGCAAGCAAACTATGCCATGCTGGGTCCACCTCGAAACAATAGAACATAGACTTGAGGTTTTCCGAACTAATGACCAAGTTGTCGTCAATGACCAGTTCAAGCTGGGTTAGCTGGGATACGAGAGGCAACGTTGCTGTGTCACCTGCAATTGGCAAACAGAGGGAGTTCAAAGGTCGAAGGTCCATGATGAGCCTCAAGACCTCATGATCTCCGTCCCACTCATGCTTGGAAACACCAAATAATCCGGCCAGAACAGGCTGCGAGCTTACAAACTTGGGGCGAGGGGATAACACCCCTTCTTTCTGGCATGCTTTTGCAGAGATTTCTCCACTGCGCTGATTGCGCAACACATACCTCATCCCCGTATGAGTTGATGAACCTACCGCTGAGCAACTCTTTCCGATCCCCTGGACGCAAGACTTCTTCATTCCGCCGTTCAGTGTGCTGCAGCCTGTTTTTGAGAGATTCTAAGATTTTGGTTTGCAGGCCTGTGGGGGGTTTGAGTGAGCAAGGCTGCTGGGACCCAAACAAGGCATTGAGCCCTAAAATTACCGAGACGAGCCACCCGTGACAGACCTAACCCCGTGCCGCCCTCGATGATTTTGGATCCTGAAGGGAGAGGTCGACTGGGGCTTGTCTATATTTAACCGTACATGTGTAAGCAACTCTTGCGCGACAAGTTTTGCCACACGCTGGATGTACAATGG